GCCTGGATTGTCACTTACCTGTGTATGAGTACATCCAACTGAATTGTCCTGAATGGAACGAAACGCAGCTGTTAGATCCTATCTATTTTGAAATTGTGTGTTTCAGTTGTGAATAGTGATGCGTATTTTTTATTACCGATATACTTAATGTAGCGTGTATACAATATGTAGATATAGGGCTTTATAATATATTTTGCTACTTCTCAAAGAAAGCTGAAACTGATGGTGTAATCCACTGAGAAGTATTAAATAGCTTCTAAAAACGTGTTTATCCAATATTACCTTTTACTAAAATTTTTATTTCCTCATTTCCTATGCTCTTCAATGTTTAAGGAGCATGCTTTTTACATTGATGTAGATTGATTTCATTGTTTAACAAAAGAAGAAAAAACAAATTTCCAATATCATCTTGAAACTGTAATTTTTAGTATCTATAACTTGGAAAGTCATCAATTGGTCAGTTTTATTTACTAAAGTAACATAAAACTGCATGTCACCAATGAGCCTTTTTACCACAAATGTATGTCCAGTAGTTACAATGCTTTTTTTGAATTTTGGCAACATACCAGTTAAAATAAAAGTGCAAACCATTAGTTACTACTTTATATGAAATGCTCATTGTAGTTCATATTAAAGGTGTTTGTTTGTTATTATTTTATAATAGCATTGTAAGTTTTTCTCACATGCTTCTCATCATATTCCATCGGTACTATAAAAAGATTCAAGTTTTAAAAAATCCATGTCATTTTTAGATGTGCTGTTGATTACCCACCTATCTAGGTATTTCAAAATATGACTATTAATAAAGAGTTGAAATCAATAAATCCTTGCAAACTGTTCTTCCGGTATAATAACTTTCCTATAAACTAGAAAGTTTAAAAAAATTAAATCTGATTTTTTGTTTGATTGAGTAAACATGACAATTTTATTCAGATGACACGCCTATACTAAGTAAACACAAACCGTAAGTAACTGATGATAGCAAAGGCTATAATTTAAATGTCTAGACATGCAAATATTCAATTATATTTATACTACACTCCAAAAGAGATTGTAAAACTTATAATAGTCATTTAAACATTAAAATTAAAACACGAATTTCAGCGAAGGGATCTCTTTTCAACGAATTTATTATCAAGCTGTACAATCGTATGTATATGAAAATTTTGTTCCGTTAAGTAGGAAGAGAAACCTTATCCATTCTTTATGCCATCGCATACATCACATATGCAGTACGGAATGCATTAACGAAGAACTCGCATTCCTGAAGAAAACCCTGACGGAAAATGGTTACCCAGAACGGTTCATAAAAAAGAATATGAATAAAAGTAGTCGCGAGAAGAATTCTAGTTGTTCCGTTCCAAAGAAAAACCTTTATATAAGTCTGGAATTTAAAGGTGACCGAACATCGGACGTAATCAAAAACCGTCTAACAACAACTATTAGAAGAACATTTAACGCGGCAAAACTGCGAATATCCTTCACTAGTAGAAACTTATTTTCTGTATCCATAAAAGATAAGCTTCCACGTCTGGTCGCCTCCATGTGCATCTACCAGTTCACCTGCCCTTGTGGAGCAAGGTACATTGGCCGTAGCCAGCGCTCGCTTTCAACTCGGGTACGAGAACATATCCCAGCCTGGTTCTATAAGGGTGAAAGTGAAGCAGTTAGGAGTTCTATACTTGAACACCTAATCGACTATAACCATTCAACAGATCCACAAATTGACTTTAAGGTTGTTTATATGATTCGATCAAATCTACCCAGATTTCTTCGTATCCAACTTTTAAAAATAGCCGAAGCTCTTGCCATCCAGGAGCTTAAACCAGAACTGTGCGTACAAAAGAAGTACGTCTTATCGTTATCGTTACCTTGGCCTTAATTAGTTTGATTATCCTACTATTAATGTTATTATTATTATTATTACTGCATTCCCCCTTTACTTATGTCTTATATTCTCATTGTTTTATTCATGAACGCTCATCATATCAGTTTATTTTTGTACACCTCTATGACCTTTAATTATTATATCAAAAACATTTTAATCATTTTAATCATCTTATTATAATCACTAAATCTATTGTTACTGTTATTATTCATATTACGTAATCTAGTATTATAACCTTTATATTAACTGTGTTCACATTTCCTCACGGAATTAGTACTTTTACAAAAACAAAATTTTCATATATATACGATTGTACAGCTTGATAATAAATTCGTTGAAAAGAGATCCCTTCGCTGAAATTCATGTTTTAATTATAATAGTCAGCCTATTTTATTAATATTTGCTTAATTGCATCTATTATTTAGTTACTTATTTATTTAAAACAATACTAGTCAGTATAGACGTTTTAAGTCAAGATTACATCATTCTTATTGATAAATGATCTAATAATAAGAAAACATTATTGATTTATTTGTAATATATCATACCGTTTAAGTAGGGGAGTACCTAATCAACTAATCAATTAAATAAACAATTAGTAACTATTAACACTATCGATGTTGTTTAAGGATTTTAATATGAAAATCCAGAAAATTTTATATAAACGATTTTGTTTTTACTCGTAAATTCATCAACAAAAAATGGCACAATTTCTTTAGGCAATACTACAAATTACAATTACAATTAGCATTGCTTGAATTTAATTATGATTGTTATTTTAATAAAACACGAGAAAAAACAAAAAAAGAAAAAAAAGTAACTAGAGACATTTGAATTTCAGTTGGTAACAAAAGTTGATTCTTTGTTTGTATTTTTTTTTGATTAACTACAAAAGCAACGTATAAAATTAGCTAATTTAAATGGTTTAAATAGATGCAAAATTAGTTTGCATATTTTCTGATGAGCTTTTCTTAATTAAGATGATGAAATTAAAGTGAAAAATTAATTATCATTGAAAGTCTTGTTTAAATTATTTATTAAAAATTTATTTAAATTAAATTCTATTGACTTTCATTTAGAAAGTCACAATTATTCTATATACATTTATAAGCAAAGATCTATAAAGAATTGCAGTGTAATCCAGGACGTATGTTTTGACGTATTCGGGGCCATTCAGATGGATTTACATGCATCCTAGAGTTGATGTTTAGTCTGGGATGCGAACAAGCAGGTGGCTAACAGTACTCAATAGCTAAGTGGATAACGCAATGGCGTTTGAAGCGAATGGTACTGGGTCCGATTTCCAAAGTGAACAACAACTGTGAGATGCAGGCACATCCAGTTGACGTGTCCCAAATAGGACGAAACGCGCGTCCTGGATTCCACTGTTAGCCACTATCCACCTTTGCTTACAATTATCGTGACTTAAGACAATATCGAGGCAATCCGTACAGGATACACATATGTCGACAAGAAACTGATAAACTGCAGTCCCAAACGTCAATGGGAAGATATATACAAATAACAGCAAGTGAATTTATTCGACGTACCATTTTGAATTATTTTTCCATGGAAACTAGTTTTATTCTGTCATAAAACATTTCTTTAGACCAGTGTTTAATGAAAACTGTTATTTATTATGGCAGCCTATCTAACTCATAATCACTGTGTTATTTAGACAAAAAATCATATTAACCCGATGATTTGATTAAGGTCAGAGTTTATTATTGAGATGCCATTAAATACCTAAATATGCTGAAATATTTGTGTGTCGGAACTTTTTAAATGTATATAATGAAAGGATGGATATACTTTATGCAAATGAAATTAGTCTCTATGTCGACAACCAAATCATATCACCAATTTTATTCCCCAACAAAATTTGTTGTTAAGGTTTTAAGATTTAATAAAATATGTTTTTGTCTAAAATAAGTCTTTTTGTAATAAGGTATTGAGAGTGTAGTATATCATATTTTAAGGGATACTTTGGGTTTTACTACTATTTTTAGCTTTATTTCAGATAGATTACGTCAATAAACTTGAAGATTTATGGAATAAATCAGTGTGTAAGCAGTATATCTTACGTTTCCATTCCGTACATATAATCAACTGAATATGAGTTTAGTAATATAGGATTGAAAAAAAAGCTGGACTTCAAATAATGTTTGACTGTAGGTTTATAATGTATATGCATCATCACTTTCGTAATTCCATTCAACAAACAATAAAAAACCAACTTCCGTAATAATCATAAATACGTGCTGTTTCCAAAGGTTTCTTTATTCCCATGAATGACAATATGAGCTTTTCAAAAAAATCCTTGATTATATCACGCTTCGTAATCAGTGCCTTTTAACTAAATTAGAACGTCTACTGTGTTAGATATTTAATATCCTTTAGATTCCATTCTAGTGTGCTATCTCATACTGATCACATTGTTTGCTTAACGTGTGATAGAATGCTATACAAATAAACTTCACTTCGCGGGATTCCAACCCAGAACCTATCAGTCTCGCGCCAGGCGCTTAACTAACTAGACCACTGAGCCGACATCCAGCGGTGTAAATGTCTAACTTCGACTAACCCTCGAAATCGAGCGACACACCCACCATTGTCATCAGTGAGTTACTACCTCACAACTGGCCCGGCTGAAGTCCACTGATCAATACTTCTCACTTGAAGTCCAGGAGGCGGGATCGTGGATGCGCAATGCTGAGGAGTCCCACAATAAAACGAAACGGCCGTCCAGTGCTTCCAGATTTTCCATGGTGGTCTAGCTTCAATCGATTCATGATCCAAACTAATGAAATTACTACAATCTCCACAAAACCCCTTCTGAAACTTCATTCCGTTTGTAATGTTCAGTCTTGATTTAAAACTATCCCTTATAGATTGCTTAGCACAACGTTAATTCCACTAATATGAGTCTATTGATTTGATATTTGTCCGCATTCAGTTTCATTGATGACTTAATTATTCAAGAAAGTGACATTGTTAAACAAAATTATCCCAGTTTTTTATCCAAATACCAAGTTCAAATAGATGATATATAATAAAGAAATGTTAATTTAAATAAAACAATTAATTAATAATTTGGTAATCATTAACTTACCAAACAAAAATAAAATATAAATGAATATCCTCATTGAAATGGACAATGAAAAATACATGTTGTATTTCATTTCGAAGTCAACCATGATTTGTTAAGTCTTTCTTTTAGAATGAAATCATACTTTATCCTTAAAAGAAATAATCCCTAATTTATTTACAGAGAATTTGCTAATTATCATTAATAATCTTTTCCATCACTAGATATTTAATCAATTAGATAAGTAGTAAGTTATATCATAAAATTTGAATATACATGTAATTTTGTACGTAGTAGGATATGAACTGATTTAATTTATATCATTTGTTTTGTATGTTATTGTACTCTAGAAAAACTGAAACGTAGTACATAGAGTATGTGGTAAATCCTCAGATATACATAATGAATAGAATGAGTACTTAATTTATACTATATGATATACAATCTCTTTTTTTCATATAAGAACCATGTACATGATATATAAAAGAAGATAACTTTACAAGTTGTAATTTAGATGACGATACTGAGATTTATAACCATTGGACGTTGTATCCTATAAAATTTTAGGTATATATATAATATCTCATTATCTTCAGCACTCTCTAAATATTCGGATTATTTTTCCTTAATAGAAATAAACATTAAAGTTTATATCTTCAGATATATTTTTCTTTTCTTTTGTTTTTCTTTCGTTACCATACTTTATCTTTAAAAATGTCAACTATACTAGTTAGTACACAACAAAATAAGTTAAAAGCAGTTTTATTGGAACACAGTACACGCATTTTTTCATAGGAGGAATTGAAATGTATTAACTAAAAGACAAACACATATATACATATATATAGGAAATAAAAAGTTATAATTCACATTTTGATAAGTTTTAGTTCACATCATCTGTGATTGGTTGCTAGTTGGAAATAGGTGTTTATAAATAAATTGAGTGCAATATATTAGTTATTATGACAAGAAAAGTAAACTAATGAAACTAATTTTTTCTGTTTTATTTTTTGAGATATTAATAAATTTAATTGAATATTGTTTTGATTTAATAAAATTGTGTTGGGAACGTTAGATTCCCAGAATTCACTTGGGAAAGGACCTAATTTTGTAATTTTATTTAGAAAATTTGAATTTCTTTGTTTTTGCACCAAAGGCGCTCATGTCACCTTCATGTCGCACTTCCCACTGGAAATATCTTAAATGCTATCGGTCCGTTGCGTCTTTTAGTATGCTATTTGGTAACTCTCCCCAAGAACGGTTTTGTACCGTATATATACATTTTGAATTGTTTGTTCTGATCGCTCGTTTCTAGTTGTTTGCAGAATATATTTCCCCATTCTAAGCTTGGACTTTTCCCTCTAGTTAGCGATTCTGGGACGCATCAAACAGCTAGCTTACTGGTCTTTGATCACTGAGTCTTTGTTCTCGTTCGTAGACTAAGTGAACTCGTGATAGCTTCAACCCTAGCAAAATGACAGTTTCTAATGGATACCTTTTTAAAAGTACTTATGGTATATAATTGTATATGACTACCGTTCTCATATTATTCTTAAGCGTTGATTTACAACTTTCTGCTTATATACGTACGATTTATTTCAACTATTTTTAAGTTCAAAGATAAGACTAGTATACTACACAAAAAAATAGAGTGAAAATATCCATGAAGACAAAATGAATGCACCACAACATGATGAAAATTAATTTTAAACCAAATAATGCTATTTGATCGCGTAACAAGTAGACAACGACATATCGGAAGACTATAATGAAGATTTCGTTTTGACTAAAAACTATAAATACCTGACAGTTTGTACCATAATTGACACTGTTTGGAATAACATTCATTTTCGACTTGAGAGTGTTCTAGCATCGAGTGCTCAAGTCATACGTGGTATATTAGGAATCTAGGCTCTAGATATAAGTTTACTTTTCATACTACATAAAATTGTTTCCAATCTGTTCACAAGACGTATGTTCAATCAATTCCATTGCCGTAAACAATTACTATTATCAAATGTTTTGGTTAGAGTATATACAGCATACTATACCTCCTTCTAACTAATAGATCGTTCTTACAAATTCATCCTTTTTGTTATTCCATAATCATTGTTATGATTAGACTATTTGGTTATATAGTTCAGTTTACTTGGTAGTCATAATAATAAAAACATTAATTACTCCAATAGTCCCACTTTTAACTTGTTCATTATTTGTCATTCTGATTTGCTGATTATTTATTGCCTTTTTAAGAACTAGCAAATAACTTACAAGCAAAGTCCAGTATATTATTTGTACAACCTAATTAGTAATTAGTGTAGTGAACAGACTGTGAAATAAGAATGAAGATTTGAGTAGAATACCATGAATTCATATTATTCTGTTTGGTTTTTAATTATTATAGGGTGTAAGCGGCTGACGTGAACCAAAAGTTATAAAACAAAAGCAGACTATTTTGTTCAAATATTTGATCTTTCTCTCCTCAAGACGAAAAAGAAAACTTTCTTTATGAAAGTTAAATGCGTTCGACGTTTTCTAAGCTTTGTGAAGTAATGTGCAGGAATTTAGGGAGTTGATGCAAAAATCTTTTTAATTCTTAATTTAATTTTCAAGAAAATAGAAAGTTCACAACAATTGCAGATAAAGAATTAAGTGCAAATGCTACTGAAGTAACAACCGAATGAACTTTGACTGAAGAGCTTCCAATTAGAAAATTTTTTAACACAAATAATTCAAAGCGCCACACAGGGATAATTAAAAGTTGATAATCAGCCAATTCAGTTAGTACTACATCGAGAAAATTTCATAACTAGGCCGACGTTTTACAAACGCAAGTTGCAAATGATCGAATGAACATTATCAAATCAAATAACTCGTTAACCCATTCATAAGAAGTCAAGTCTATAAGATGTAAATTGATAGCATTAGAAATAGTTTGAATAATAGCCCGGGGGAAGAAAGCATAAAGACACTTTTTGACCAAAAAAATAAACTTAAATATTACATACAACAAGAGTAAACCTTGAGCTTTCATGTTACATTATTTGTATGGCTTATCAAAAATTTATACGACGGACGTTTACGTCAAACTATAATGGCCATTGTCTGATTTACAAATTCTCACGTTCAGTCGCTGATTAGCGAAACTCCATGGTATGAAAAACAAATTCAATACATTCAAATGGTAAACGTTTTCAAGATATTTGTGTGATTCATGTTTCGATTGGATGTGGAATCCATGACACGAGTTTCGTCCTATTTGGGACCCGTCAGATGGATGTACCTGCATCTGTGTTAATGTTCACTCTGGGACTCGAACTCAGTACCGTTCTCTTCAAACGCCGTCGCGTAATCCACTTAGCTACTGAGTCCTGATAGCCACTTGCTTGTGCAATGGAGTGAAGTTTAATTCACTTGATATGGTTTTACTTGAATCTTCCCACTGAGGTTTAAGACTGAACTTGATCAGTCCCTTATTAGTATATGTGCATAATGTGAGTATGCCTCTATAGTGCCTTAATTAACAAGCTTTTATAAACAAAGATGGAAAGATACAATCAAAACTATACCAAGTGAATTTATACTACAACCCATTGCACAAGCTAATGGCTATCAGGACTCAGTAGCTAAGTGCATTACGCGATGGCGTTTGAAGAGAACGGTACTGGGTTCGAGTCCCAGAGTGAACATTAACACAGATGCAGGTACATCCATCTGACGGGTCCCAAATAGGACGAAACTCGTGTCATGGATTCCACTGCTAGCCACTATCCATCTTTGCTTATAATTAGTACTATTATTTCCAAGTTATTAAGAGCTTAGAAGGATCTGCAAATAATGGTGAATTCTCCTAAGATTGCAGTTATTCAAATAGTAAGAAAATTAATCGTATCTAAAACACTGTTTTACGATTTTCATAGTTGTATGTCTATTTTGACAAAAAAGAAAAAGTACGATAAACCGATACCAAGAACCAATTTCATTTTTGAATTTACATAATTCGTGAATCGGTCAATTAAATGTGCACCATATAAATAAATACATATGTTACAAACATATTGATAGTGAGGTGACATCAGTTAGAGATTTTTTATAAGATAAGAAATAACGAATAACTGTTTTAACCTATTTTTCAACTCTTCCAAATTATACACTTATCATTGAATTGAGTAACATCCGGTCTTATGGTCACCACAACTCAATTTTCCTACAGTCCTATGTAGCATATAATATATTTCTCATTTTTGCAGTATATCTTTCCCATCCATTACTATTAATTAATATGAACGTAAAGTTATGAAAAATTTCAATTATGACGAATAACTTCTTAAATTATTAAACCAATAAACTTCTTAAACAAATACCTGTTTGTCATATAGTGACACATTTAAACACCTAATACCTTGACCTAAAAATAAACAAAAACAATCTATGTATTTTTATTAAAAAAAAAGTAAATAAAAATGTCATAGGCTTATTGGTTCAACAAACTTAGAACATTCATTGTACCAAGTTCATAAACAATCTATTAGCATGAAAATGAAAGAATAATGTATGAAATTTATAAATTAACATTTGAAGATATTAACAAGAGATGAATTAAAATGTTGAGAAATATCGATATTTAAACATTGTTTAATTGTCTAGTTATTTTGTTTTACCATAGACAGATATTTATATGTTAACATGTTAGAATATCGGACAAATATATTGTTCTTTGTTTCCTTACTACATTTGAGCAAAAGAGTTAGAATGTTAGAGAAAACCTCAAAGGATGAAAAAAATTGTTTAAATAATAATATAAACAGAATGCTAATCAATATGGTTTACTCAGAGTTGACTACTCCATCTTTGTCCAGTTTTACATATTTATAATTTTCCATAACGTAACATGAGAAAAGGTCAACAGGTTTTAATAAAAACTGAACTGACCAAATATAAATAAGTAAATAAATTTCACTATTGTGTTCGATGACGAGCTGTTTTGTTTATAGTTACTAGTGTGGTATGTGCTATCGATGTCGACAGATATAAGTAGTAAGCATCATCAATGGAAAGTGAAAAGAGACTACAAATAAAGAACGATTGTTGTAGGAATAAAAGAAGTCT